AGGAAGCAGCAGAGGTAGGAAAAGGGCTGTGTATGTGAGTGGGGAAAAATGGAAAAGGATGTTTGCTATGTTTGTAACAAACACACCACCAATGTAGAGCTACTGTGCTGATAGGAGCAGAGAGAGAGGGACGGGGGGCTTGCATAGAAGAATGACAGCAGAGCAACACTAACATCTTGGCTCCAAGATTAAAACACAGAGGCAGTTTCTAAATGGAAACTGGCAGTGGAGAGAACTTGGGAGGATAGAATGACAAAATGAAAAGCTCCATCTTCAAAGGAAAACAGATATCTTATGTATATGAACCACTTACTATATACAGATGGAGTATCATGTACATAAAACCTGCAAAACCTAATTGCAGTTCTCTTTGCTCACATCCATGCAACTGGAATAAATGGACAAATGCTATTCCCATTGTTCCCCTCATCTAATATATATGTAGAAACACAAATCCTAAGTTCTAAGTTGGGGAGACCAAGTCATCATAATCAGAAGGTTGTTTTGGTGCCCATGTGAAATTAGTTGCCGGTGAGGAAGAAAGGGACACACAGGAAAAATCATTACCATTGTTGGTACCCATGGTGATATTTTCAACAGAGAAACCAAAAAAGACTAAAGTCCTAGTATGTATTAGAAGTTGGCCCACACAAAGAAGGTGTGTAGCCAGCAGGGGAGCTGAAGCACTGCTGCTAGAGATGCTGCACGTTGTGGGTAAAAGGCCTCAGTCTCCAGAATCTGTCAATACTCTAAATTTACTTTCAGAAGAACATTTTGTGCTTAAAACTTAAATTCCTGTTTCTTTCCATCATGGAAATTTGTACTGATGCCCCTCTGCTGTGCTACTTGCCTCCAACTCCCAGGTAGGGAGCTGTTTGATAGCATCACTTTCTGGTATTCAGCCAGTATCTGTGTACAGGCTTCCTTTGCTTTATGCCGGTTCTGTATGTGCGAATTCACTCTTATGTGATGACTCTCTTTATACCAAAAATTCGTCATATGCAAGGTAAATTCACTCTTATGCAATCGGTATGGTGGAAGCCCGCAGTCAGCTGCTTTGTGCAATGCATTGTAGGAGTGATGCACACCAAAATATAGTCTCCCGTGTGAATCTGTGCTCCTCGCTCATTGTCTGCGACATGTGTTTCTGCAGTTGCCATCCCCATTATGATAATGCCCAGTGCTTGTGTGTACTGTCTGCTGATGGTGAGTACCAAAATTGTCTTATAAAAGTGGTAGAAATGGGTCTGGAGGTCAGTACAGTCAAGGTCTTGGAACGCATCCCTATTTGTTACATTGTAAAGTGGGTTCCCTTTATGTAAATTTGAGTTATGTGCTGTTTTCCAGGAGCGCCATGTACAGAATAAAGCGAGGGAAACCTGTTTAGACAGATGTTTAAGGGCTATGGTTAAACCAACAGGCAGGATGCAAACTTCTTTTTTAACACATGCAACCAGCCTAATTCTCCAAATGAGCTAAGTAAATTTAAACTGCAGGGGGATAGGAATTAGTGACTGGTTGTCAGGTAAGTTGGTGAGGGGAAGTACAGCTGTATTTCATTCTCAGCAGTAATTGCAGCTCTGCCTGTGTCTGTCAGTTGAAAGAGGCTCTCTGCTTAACTTGTAATCCTGATGGCATCAATTTATAGGGGTTTGTCTCCGGAGTGCAACATGGGTCTCATAGACAGATTCCATACAACAACATTTCCCTGATATGTTAGCCTATCCCCTGCTTCAGGAAGTTGAATCTTAACCAGAGTGTTTTTCCCAAACATTTTAGAAGCCTTTTATGAGTTAAACAAATGTACCCAGCGTGAAGAAATGAGAAGATATTTAAATGGATTGAAAATAAATCACTTCCGTCTCACCATAACTCACTTGTGTGTTGCCTTTGTGATATCCTAATCTTGCTTCCTAATACTCCTCTGAATGATCTCTCAAGAAAAGCAGGCTACACAAGACCCAAATTTCTGATGTGCAAGATGTATTGGAATGGGGGAGGGAACGTTTTGAGGGGAGGAGGACACTTCAGACCATTTTCATTTCTCATCAAGAAGCAAAAATGTGCAAAAAGTACCCCCCCCATACCTTCTTTTTATTGCCCTGTGGAGGTCACCAGTAGAGATGGATCATGTGGAACGAATCCATTAGCAGTTAGAGCCATGTATGTTATTGCTTGAATAGCTTATTAAATACCTCCTACATTTCATGCAGGTGCTCTGGACAACACAGAATTAAACACAAAGTAGATTAAAAGGATTTATTTTGGTAGCAACAGTTTCTGGGAAGTCTGATGCAATTCAGGGCTTTATTGCCTGGCTACAGATGATACTAGCCAAACTCACAATCAGCTACTACTTGCATCAAAATAATTATATAAAGGTGCCCCTATTGTTCCTCTTAAACTTGCTGGCTGAGCTTTTCCTTCGAGTTTCCCACTGGTGCTGCTCTACCTAGAACTGTAGAAATCTCAGTGTAAGGTACCTGTGATTTTATCACCGTGTCATCCAGTCCTCCTAAAAGCTAGCCTAAGTCTGAATATCTGCAACCTGTTTGTACCTGTGAAGGAGCTGTGCTAGTGTTAAAAAAAGTGAGAAAGTTTTACTTTTTATACTGATATCCTCACTGTTTAGGACATGTTTCTTTTGTTCATGCAGACAAGAAAAAAGTGTTAAACTACAATCACATTTTACTATCTTATTACTGTAGTGTACATAGGCATAACAATGTTCTAAGTTTCTGGTCTACATAAGGTATGATTGCCTTCCTGGTTATGTCTTCATTGTCAGATTTGGAACCAATAATTCACTACTACAAATCCAACTCTAGTGGTAGCAATAGCAATGGACATGTAAAGCTCTGTGGGTGTGCGTCTCCGTTGCCCCCCGTGTCACCTAGTATGATTGGACACCATAGTTTCAGACATCTAAATCCTGTGGGTGCTGTCTCTACCATTGTTGATATCAGGAAAAAATGGTAAATCCATAACCTAATTGTTATGATGCATAAAAGGCTCCAGTGTCTTTTTCCAGCTACATCATGGTGGTTTCTTATCTTACAGATTTCACAAATCAAACAAAGGTGGTTTGTTTGATGCCTGCAGTTAAGGTTTCTTGATCGCTTCCATTCCAAGACCCTGTGGTTTATACCTTTGCCAGACTGTTCGCTTGAGCCGAAATGTTCCATGTTATGTGTCTGTCTTGGACTGAACGTGTCTGGAAAGCTTCAGTTAAAATAGTTCAGCTGTTTCTCAGGACCAGATGGTAGAAGTACTGTGTATATTTTACTCATGTTGAAAAATGCTCACAGCTGGTTTATAAAGCAGCTCTGTCACTTCCATGTTTTGCAGCAGGGAATTGAGATTTGGCATAAATTACCATGGTATCAGGGATGTGTTGTTGTGAAGTACCACCCAGAAATTAAACTGTAACTTTTTGGCAACCCCTCCACTCCCTGCAGTGTGTATGTTTTCACTCAAGTGTGGTTAGAGTTTGACTACTACACTCTCAGAAGATTCATTCTGTACTAAGCATGGTCCATCCTCTTATAATTTGTACATGCCAACTAGATTGTGTGTCCTGTCCCCACCAAGCACCTAAGCATGCACCAACACCCCCATCCTGAAGAGGAACAGGACTTCCTTACTTCTCCCAGCTGCTGAAGGCAGCTCATAAGAATAATGTTGTTGAAATAAGATGCTTGAAAGCCAGAATACCCAAATGTAAGGTGCCTCAAGGAACCTTAACTGTGATGTATTTTTATCCCCTGTCATCATGACCTATCTAACAATGAAGTCCTGCATGGAGTAATCTTATTTGCAAACGATTGTTCATCATCCACATTTTCATGAGGACCACAAACTCTTAGTTACCACAGGATGAATATGATGCAGATATATTATTAATAGATTTTAAACTCAGAGGGGATAATTATATTAGCTAGTCTGACATCCTTTATCTCAGGCCATTTCACCCGCTGTGCTTAATACAGGTGTGTTTGTCATGGGAAGCATAAAAAGCAGACTAACTTTATTTCAGTAGTGGTACACGCTGGATATATTAGCAACTAGTGTTTTGTAAATATAAATCAACAATTCCTCTTCTCCTTAGTCACAGACAAGCCACTGACTCAAACATGCAGACCCTCCACCACTAACTCCACTGACAACTTAAGGGAACATTTTCCTTGATTTTAATAATATGTTCTGTGAGTCCACTCAGAGAACCTAAACTACCTTATCTTTCTTCCAAAATATGACAATTGGAGTTACTCCACATATTCACATCCTTCAAATATCTCAACACAAGGTGTTATAGATGGACACGAGACAGAAATAGAGAGAAAGACTTTTCATAAAATCTAAAGCTTTGACTTTCCAAGATTGTGCTTGTATGTGTTAACTACAGCTTTCTAATTATGTTGGGCTCATTTATTAATATCTATTTCCATCATTAGTTGTAGTTTATACATTTTCTTTGTCTGGGACCTACTCTATTTTAATTTAATCCCTTGCCTCCCAGGAACATCTCAATGGAGAAAAGGTACCCTGTGTCTGAGTAGGAGTCTAGAAGCTTTTTAAGAGACCACTACTGTGTTCATGGCTTTAGACCTTTCCTTGGGTCTCGATAACTGTTGTCAGCCACCATCCTCTTTCTGCTCCAAGACGGGAGGGTGCTGTTCCTCTTGAAAATTTTCCTTTGCTCAGTTACTCTAGCTATGGATCTAATATTATCCTAACTAATCCTTTTTCCTTGGTGTTTGCATCCTTCAAGTTCTGTAGACAATCACCTTATTCCCTTTTAGAGTTCTTCGGCTAAGTTTTATCATTATTTTATTGTTCCCTCAAGTTGTTCTTTCTAATTATCTCTGGTTAATCTCTGACTATTCAAAGTTTTTCTGGGATCAAGGTGCTTGCAACCATATACTATATTTCTTTTACGTCAGGTGGTTTTAATCTTGGGCCTGATATCCATCTTTCTGGCACCATGAGGCTGACCTCTGCTACTCCTGTGCCATAGGCTTGACAGAGAGGACCAGGCGTTGACGAAAAGTGTCACAGAGCATAATATATACAAAGGGGTTCAGGCAACTGTTTGCATAGCCCAGGCTGATGGCTGCATTGTACGTGTAGTAGAAGGTAAGGGTTGGGCGGCTGATGGACAGCTGTATCAACTGTAGCAGGTGATATGGTGACCAACAGGTAAAGAAGACCAGACATATAGCAATGGCAGTTCGTGTCACTCGCTTGAGCCTCAGCTGGACGCTGCGCTGAGTAGTTGGGGCTACGGAAGACTTCATGTGTTGGAGGATGCGTGCATAGGCAGCGGCAATGACCACAAAGGGAAGGGTGAAGGCCAGAAAAAACTGGTACAAAGTGAACCAGTACAAGTCAGTTTCTGGATGTGGAAGGCGGATACCACAACCCACAGTACCGTCAGGGAATGGAATAAGCCTGGCATAGAGCCAAACTGGGGTAATGCTGATAAAAGAGAGTATCCAGAGGAGACAGATAACCAAGGTAGCAACAAAGGGCTTCCTGAATCTTGAAGAGGAGATGGGGTGAACTGTAGCCAAATACCGGTCAATGGACATAGCAGTCAGAATGTAAGTGCTGGTGAATTGACTGTTAGCGTCCATGGCAATGATGAGTGTACACATCGTCTCACCAAAGTGCCAGATGCCATTTCCCAGGAGCTGGTGGATCATGAAGGGCATGCCCAAGAGGAAGAGGAGGTCCACGACAGAGAGATTGATAATAAAGATGTCTGTGACATTGTGACGCCAGTGGAACTTGGACTTTTTCACTACAGTAAAGATGACTACAGAGTTGCCAGCAGTGCCCAGCAGACAGATAATGCCAAACACAGAAGGCATGATAATACTGGTATAAGAGATGCTCTGCAGACCTGGCCACTCTGAAAACCAAGAAAACATACTGATAAAGGGTAGACTTTTGTCATTTAGATCTTCAGTTTTGTGACAAAATTTACTCCTGGCAAAAAGACTCTGCCAACACACCTCCCTTTTAGTTCTCTTGTACTTTCTGCTGTTCTAGTCCTGGCTTCTCAAGCAAAAGCTGCTAGTGGACAGGAACCAGAAACAGATCCAGGATTTTACAGAGGGGTGGGGTGGGGGGTGGTTTTACTGACCAGGCCTGCTGGGGTAGCTGCACTCCTGCTCCCAGCCTCCCCACCACTTCTCCCCTTCACCAGGCCAGGCAGACTTCAGACAGGAGCTGCAACTGGGGCCTTAAGTCCAAAAAAGAAGGCAAGAATTCCCTGCCTGTTTCCCTCCATGCTCAGTGCACATCCTTCTGCTTCCATCTGCATCCCCTTCCTCTCCCATGCATCCGTCTCCTGACTGTTGCTGCTAGTGTCTGCATTGTCCTGGGGACAAGGGAATCTCTTGCCCATTCCAGCCAGGCTGTGAGGGGCTGCACTCACCTGGCACCATAGCAACAGTGGTAGGCAGGCACATTCCCTTTCCCTGTGCCTGCTCCCAGGATGGTGGGGAGCACCAAGAGGGAGCAGGCAGAAAGGGGGAACATCCCTGCCTCTGTCAATGTCCTGGGCTGATCCCAGCCCTTGTGCAGCCTGGCTGTAGCAAACAAGAGCTCCCCTCAGCCACAGGAGAGTGTGGACACCAGCAGTAGTAGGCTGGGGAAGGGGGAAATGAGAAGGGAAGGGACAGGGAGGAGAGGGGCTGTGCCTTTGAGCACAGAGGGGAAGGAAGGAAGGGAATTCTTACTTTCATGTGGACTCAAGTCCCTGGCTGCTGCTCCTGAGGCATAATCAGAAACTCAGGGTGTGGCCATGACACTGCATTCCCTTTGAATCCACCCATGACAGGATCTATAGCACCCCTGGGTATTCAAGTTGTGGGCTGTACACACAGCTCTCTATGAGAATTGCAAAAACATATCAAACCTGTGACCTGTGGCTGCTGTAGTCTAGTATCCTGCATCAGATTGAGCAATGTAAAACATCCTTCAAGGCAAGGTTCAGGGAAGTTCATAAAGTACAATTATAGAATAATTGACTGAGAGAACACATGTCTAATCCTAGGTATTTCACAGTTACCTTGGGCCCTCAAGTAGGTGAGGTTTTATCCTTTATATGTTAGGTAGGTAATAGTCTTATTATTTAGTTAAAAAATATAGGCTGCTTGCAAATGTTACAAAACGAACCAAAATGTGCTTTACTGGAAGAAGCAGTGCATTGCTTTGACCCAGCTCTGCAGTATCTGTAAATATCAGATGCTTCATCTGGGCTTATTAGTACTTTTAGCTAATAGCTGATTCAATCACTAAAGTGCTGAGTTTAAAGTAAAGTGCCGTTTGTTTTTAATGTCTTCAAGCACCCCTAAAGTCTGATCCTACTTTAAAATCATACTAAGCTTTTAGCCTCAGTGATAAGTTGTGAAACTCGTTGGCACAAGATAACAGTGAACTGTGTTAAAAAGCATCTCCTTTTACCCGATTTCACTGAATGCCCCTTTTGTTCTCCTATTAGAGTAAGAAGAACACCATTTAAATCCTCTATATTTTATTTTATTTTCTATACCATTGTTATGTCCCTTTTATTAATCGCTTCTGCAAACTAACAGTCAGTCTTTCCAGCCTCACTATGACAATCCCTCCATTCCATTCATCTCTTTTGCCACCCATCCTTAGCCTCCTCCTGTTGTTACGCATCATTGCTTTCGAGATGAAGTGACCAGAACTGAACCCAATCCTCCAGGAGAGGGAGCACCACTGACTTTGGAGTATATCATTGTATCATTGCATTTCTTGAGAAAGCAACTCAGTGTTGAACTTGAAGCTCTTTTTAAAAATTCTTTTAGTCTTTTATTAAGCTGACTGTCATGGTTCAGGAGCACTCTCCACAAATGCTGAAAGGAGTTGCACCAATGGCACGGGGCAGTCTCCATCTGGACAGTGGACAGATAGCTGGCATTTATTTAAAAGCTCATGGGTTGCTTTCAGATTTAAACTGGCTGACAATGGTAGCTGGGGAGCTGCAAGCATGAGGGAGCCGTTTTCCATAAGCACTTTTCTTCAGCTCTGTTCTGATACTGGCTGTTGGAAGAGTACATGTCAGAGAAGCCTAAGGCTGTGAACAGATGTTGCCTTTGTGGCAACACATGAAGCTTTATGGCAGGACAAAATGCAAGCATATAGATGTCTTTGCTGTTTGTCATGCTACAAGCGCCCCAAATGATTATGGGACAACACCTATAAATGTTTCTTCCACTTTATCACAGTGAATGTTTATATGGTTATGGTGCATCAGCTGAATGTACCATCGAAGAGTGATGGTGCAACATACCTTTGATGTGGTATCTCATCCTATTCTCATAAATAAACTGAGTGGCTGTGACATAGATGATTACACAGTCAGGTGCATGGACGACTGGTGCGTCCTGAGTCTGGGGGGGCACCCGCAGATGCCTCCAGCGGTGTCAGCAGCAGGGGAGGAGCTGGCGAGCTCCCGCAGATGCCCCTGGCGGCGGTGGCGACAAGGACCGCTCTGTCAGGGGGCACATCAAGTTTCTGCAGACACCGCTGGCGGTGTCAGTGGCAGGCATGGCCCAGTTGAGGGGCATGTGCCCCCCCATACCCCTTCCTCAGAGACATAGGCGACTGGTGTAGGGGAAGTTGCTGGGGCCCAAATGGCCTTTTTTGTTCTTTTTTAATTTGGAGGCAGCCGAGACTGTTGAGGCCCGAGCACGAAGAAGCCAGCAGCCCTGGAGGCTTTTGTTGCATCCCTGGGGCTGTGCATGATGCTGGCAGGGAAAAGGGGGATGTGTGTGGCTGCCTGTGGCCTCTTCTTGTAGGGCACAGGGCTGTCCGACAAAGGTTGGAGGGCTTTTTTTGGTTTTGGTTTGTTTGTTTTTTAAGTGTGGGGTGGTGGTGGGCAACTATATGTATGTAAGCGTGGTGGCAAGGCTCCAGGGTGGAAAGCTGCAGGCCTCAGCGTGGCATGCCCAGTTTTAGGGTATGCAACAATCAGCTGATTGTTCACCCCAGCCCTGGTGCGCTGGCACATTTAAAAACTGCATGTGCTGCTTAGCTGGGTTGCACACAAGGCACAGACATCCCCAGCATAAAGGAATCCTAAGTCTGGGGAGATGCTCCCTGATCCCAGGGTCCCTGTGCGCTAGGGCTGTCAGGAAACTGTGCAGCTGGACTGCACATGTAGCTTGTTGGCTTCGCACAGGTGTGCAAGGACTGCTAACAATCAGCTGCCTGCCCATGGCACTGGAGCTGAAGGACTTCCCCTGCTGAGGACTTTAAACAAACGCCATGCCTGACAGTGGTGGCTACACTGCTAAGTTATGGGGGATCAGAGGCTCCTGGCAGGGTTTAAAGTCCCCAGCGGGAATTTAAATTCCCTGCAGCGAGCCTCTGATCTCCTGCACCCTGGCAGCCAGGGAAGAACTGTCAGGTGCAGGGTTCTGACAATCAGCTGATAGTTGTTCCCTGCCTGGACAGCTGCGGTCTTCAACTAGCTGATTGTGAGCTTACTACACTCGGGCTCTGCCCTGTAAACCCACTTGATGTGTGGACATGCCAATCTTCTTCACAGGATATGTTGCAGCATGACAGTGCTGCTACAACTGCAAAGTCTGTTATAGTCTAAGGTACCCCTGCCACTCAAATTCCTCTCCTTGGGGGCCACCATCAAGTATCTTAATCTGCTTGGTTTCCGTGCTGCCATGTGGCAGTAGAGAGTATAGAGCACTCTTGTTATGGCTGTGACAGTGGCGCATTGCCACCAGGGTTGTGATAGCGAGAGCCTATGTGCAGACAAGGCATTAGCAGCTTTTCAGCTTTACAACCATTCTGTTTTTTAGGCTTGCTCCAAGCAGGGTTAGATGACATGTTTGATAGGATGCCAGCAACTTGTCTATGCTAGTGCTCTCACCATTGCTGATATTGCTGGGAGGGCAGCAGTGGGAACTGTTCAATATGAAGACATCCCAAAGAAATCCAACAAAAGAAAGTTAGGCTATAGTCTCTTCAGAGGTTAGTCTCTGCTCTCTTAATTCTTTCCTCTTTTCCCTAGGAAACTGGTAGGTGAGTTTGTTTTGCAGGTGAACCATTTCTGTGTCTAAATAAAAAAAGGATTCTATATGTTTTCCCCAAGTCTACTAATTATTTTTTTCCTCCTTCCTTCATAGTTTCATAGTTTTAGGGTCAGAAGGGACCTAATAGATCTTCTAGCCCGACCCCCCGCCAGGGCGGGAGAACAACAAAAAACCCTAAAAACAAGAACAGGACTCAAATGAGTCCAGCCAGGTAGGCATCCAGCCTCTTCTTAAAGACCCCCAGGGTAGGGGCCAGCACCACCTCCCTTGGAAGTTGGTTCCAGCTCCTAGCCGCCCTAACTGTGAAGTAATTTTTTCGGATGTCCAATCTGTACCTCCTCTCCATCAACTTGTGCCCATTACTCCTTGTTATGCCAGCGGGGGCTAGGGGAAACAGCGTCTCCCCCAAACCCTTCTGGTTCCCCCTAGTGAGTTTATAGACAGTCACCAGGTCCCCCCTCAGCCTTCTCTTGTGGAGGCTGAATAGGTTCAGGTCCCGCAGTCTCTCACTGTAGGGTCTGCCCTGTTGTCCCCGGATCATGCGGGTGGCCCTCCTCTGGACCCTCTCCATGTTGTCCACATCCCTCCTGAAATGGGGCGCACAGAACTGGACACAATACTCCAGCTGCGGCCCGACCAGCGTCGCATAGAGGGGGAGGACCACCTCCCTGGCTCTACTCGAGATGCACCTGTGGATGCACGACAAGGTCCGGTTAGCCCTGCCAACCATGACCTCGCATTGTCGACCCATGTTCATCTTGGAGTCAATAACGACACCAAGATCCCTTTCCGCCTCCGTAGCACCCTGCACTTGTCCGTATTGAAACACATCCTGTTCCTGTTTGCCCACCCCTGTAACCTATCCAGATCCTTCTGCAATCTCTCTCTCCCTGCTAGCGTGCTCACCTCCCCCCAAATTTTGGTGTCATCAGCGAACTTAAACAGGTTGCTTTCCACCCCAGCATCAAGATCGCCGATGAAGAAATTGAACAGCGCAGGCCCCAGGACCGAGCCCTGGGGCACTCCACTACCCACCTCCCCCCAAGTCGAGTATGATCCATCCACCACCACCCTCTGAGTGCGACCCTTCAGCCAATCTGCAATCCATCTGACTGTGTAGGCATCTATGCCACAGTCGCCTAGTTTATTAATTAGGATGGGGTGAGAGACGGTGTCAAAGGCCTTGCTGAAGTCCAGAAAGACTACATCCACCGCGACACCTGCGTCCATGGCCTTTGTGACCTGATCATAAAAGGCAATCAGGTTGGTCTGACATGATCTCCCCCTAATAAATCCATGCTGATTGCCCCTGAGCATCATTTCTGATGCCGGCCCATCACAAATGTGCTCCTTGATGATCTTCTCAAAGAGTTTCCCCAGGATTGAGGTAAGACTGACGGGCCTATAGTTGCCCGGGTCCTCCCTTTTCCCTTTCTTGAAGATGGGGACCACATTAGCTACCTTCCAATCGTCTGGCTTCCTTCTGCTCAATCAGTTTCTCTATTCTCAGAAAAATCGGTATATTCTAATTTCCCTCCAGACCACTTTTCCTGGCTTCCTAATATCTATTCAGTGCTTCCAAAACAATCTCTTCTTTTCCTTCTGTCCATCGTATTTTTTCCCAATCCCCTCCTTCTCCCCTTCAGATTCTACTGGCAGGTTTCATTCAGATGTTGTCTTCCATACCTCCACTTAGCCTGCATAAGGTTTTACAAGCAGCATGATTAAAAGAGAAATCAGTGACTATTCTCCCCAGAGGTGAAAAGCTGTACTCACTGGCAGCGGTCAGGTTGGCTCCAGGTTCAGAGTTGTTGCTGATGTTCAGTCCGAAGGGCAGAAGATCCATGGTTGCATCTCACTGTTATTACAGCTGATCTCTCCTGTACTCTCATGCGAGTTAGCACAGCTCTGTGCAAGCACTCTCTCCTGTAGCGCAGTCCCTATGATTCTAAGGTTGGGGGGAGTGGATTTTTTCCTGCCTTGAAGCTTCTCTGCTCAAATCGGTATAAACTGCTCTCTCTCCCTCCTCAGCAGTTCCCCCTGACATAACCTAGCCATAATCATATTCAGAAGCAGATGTATATTAACCTTTTCCCTGTCAGCTATACCATGGCTGCAAGTTCCAATTGTTTTGCCTTCAGAGAAACTGGTGAGCCTGCTAAGGTAGCTTTCACCTGCTTAACTTCATTTGCAGTAAAAGGTTCCCCCTGATATTAAGGACTTTGTCTCTCTAGCTAGGTTTTGTCAGCAGCTTTTTTTTACTCACAGTGAAAACTGGTTCCAGAAGGGAAGAGCACTTATGGATTAATCTGTAGTATGCATATTGCCATGGCAGCTTGCTGTTGCAATTATAAAGAATAAATTACAAATTAAATTGAAAAACTAAAACACCACAAGCCAAGTACTAAATGCAATGAATGTGTTTTGCAGCCTGCTAAGAAGGTTGCTAAACTCAGGCTTTAACAGACTGAAATTCCCTCCTCTTAGCAAGATGGGTTCCTTCAACTGAAACCCCTACCTAGGAGAGGCCGGGATTCTGAAATGGTGCCTTTTTGGTAAAAAGGCAGAGAAATAACTTTTGAATATATGTCACAGTCCTAGCTCCTGCCCATACCTCTAAATGCTTCTCTTTCCAACAGACATCGCATCTGCCTTATATGGGTTAAGGTATAGATGTTTTGCTTTCAGACTGAATGTTGAATTTCATGTATATGAAGCAGTGGCGTGCCCTCACCTTGAATAGTGTGCTCAATTTTGGTCATCTCCTCTTAATAAAATATTGCAAACACAGAAATGCGCAGAGACTACTGATGAAAATGATTAATATTATTTCTGTTGTGGTAACACCTAGGAGTCCTGAGACCCTATGGCCTAGGTGCTGCACAAATAGAACAAGAAGATGACCCTGACCAAGGAGATTGGGTATAGAAATATGAAAAGTCTTCTCCATAGGCTCATCTATGCTGGCATTTAAAATCATGCTCTATACATGTTTACTAACATAATTTTAAAACCTGTTCCTAGTCAGGAACTAGGAACAGATGTTTGCATCCTTTCTGAACTAGATCTACAACAGATTTTGCAAAAACATAATTAAAATCCTATTAAATAGAAAAACCTGATAAAATCCTGTTGTAGACAGCTATATAGGGAGAGACTGAAAAAAAAGAGAATTAAGTTTAAAGAAGGGACTAAAAGGGATTAAAGAAGGTGACTTGATAGAGGTATATCATGTCTGGAAAGAATAAATGACACGTTTCTTTTTACCTACTTAGAATACAAGAACAAGGAGGTATCAGTAGAAAGACAGCAACGGTAACCACATAAAAGGAAATACATTTTTATATAGTGCATTATTATTCTGTGGGTCTAATGATACTTGATTGCCTGGAGACCGTGACTTCAGTAGGACTGAAAAAACTAAACATGATAATGAGATAGAGAGTGAGCTAGTGGTGTTAGTATGCAGTTAGACAAGGCAAGATAGGGTGGGTGTCACTGACTTGTTCAGAGAGGCATGAGCTTTTTTGGGGTACAGACTACTTTGTCAGGTGCTATGAATGGCTCATCCTTGGATGGACTTCATAGCATCTGATGAAGTAGGCTGTAATTTATGAAAGCTCGTGCCTCTCTGGATAAGTCGGTCCATAAGGTGCCAACCCTACTATAACAAGAATAGGTTAAAAAAATTATAAAGACTATAAGTCCCACATTAGAGGGCAGAAGCCAACCACCACCTCACAGGTTTAGGAGGGATTTCCCTTTTAGAAAGGGTCACTGGATGAACTTTGAGGGGATTTATAACTCATCTATACTAATGCCAGGCCTAGCCCATCTCTTCAGGAGTCCAGCAGTCACGCTTCCATCAGGTGACTTAAAATAAGGCTTGTGGTCATTCAAGGAGTCAATGTGCTGAAAAAAGAGAAAGCGTCGGGTCTCTTGCATTTCTAGGGAGAGTTGTCTCCTGAGTGAGAAGTCAGGGCTGCAAAGGATGGTGAATCTGGAGAGGAGGCCACAAGGAAGAGGACCCTTGATAAAGGACTGGAAAGATTATTTTTGGAGAGTGTTCATAAACTGAAAGAATGATTTGAGTTCTGGTCATCTTGTTCTGGCTAGGGAACCTGATCCAGGGATCCTGATACATCAGTGGCGGGCAATTATTTTGGGCAGAGGGCCACTTACTGAGTTTTGGCAAGCCATCGAGGGCCGCATGACAGGCAGCCAGGGGCAGCTAAATATTAATTTTCTACGTTTTTTAGGGGCCCCGCGGGCAGATAGAATGGGCTGGCGGGCCACATCCAGCCCGCGGGCCACATTTTGCCCACCCCTGTGATACATCATTTCAAACACATAGGTACTCTAAATGACTTCAGCTGAACTCCTCGCATGGTTAGGTACTTTACTACATTCAGGTCACAGATAAGATGCTGAAGTCACTGGACTACTGGTATAGCAACTCTTATTTGCCCTTGCTGAGTCCTCCAGAGAATGGTCATCAGTCAACAGTATCAAACCCATCCTTTGGATCCTATGTGCTTTTGAACTAGCTGTGGCCTCTGAACAAAGGCCTCTTGGACAGTATCTTGAGGTGCTAGTGTCCCATCTGTCACTCGTTTTTTCAAGATGTGGGACTCTCCAATCCAACTGCCCAAAATCCTGAGACCAGTTCTGGACCTCTCAAGGCTCTCTATATGCCTTTGTGTGCTGATATACGCTCACTCTATTTTGTGTAGACCTGTCCAGTCTGGCAGGAAATGCTGTTAGTTCCTCTTCCCCTAAGTACTCACCGATCCTGAAAGTTCTTGGGGAGAAGACAAAGCCCTTCTTGCCCCCACATCGCCAGTTGTCTCTCTTGGATGATAAATAAATAGACTCTACTCTCCCTGCTTACAGAGCTTAACACAGACTTTGTGCTATTGGGTGGCCACCTGAAGGAAAAACTACAGCTCTTCTAAACATGTGCTTAGGCTGGAGAAGACTTGCATTCCCTGCCCCATCCCAACCTCTCCATGCACTCCCACACCCCCCAAAAAAACAGAAACAGTTTTCTGTGCTGGCAGAAATGCTGTTATTCAAGTAGGTGAGAGACATTCACTGCTCATGGCCTATGATTTCTTTGTCATGCCTTTCCAGACTAGCTTCTCTCTTTTCCAGGTTTCTGCTACCTGGAACAGAGCATCTCTAATCTCTAATGACTTTTTCAGGTACAAATCATGTTTATAAAACCACATGGAATTTGCAACTGGACATAAACATATTCCCCTGACTATTGCATATTAGCATCCAAATTACTGGGAGTTGATGATGCCATAGTCCAAATGTTTCACAGTTATTCTGTGCGACTTGGTATAATGTTAAACAGCAAAATAACAAAATGACTGCTTGAAGTTTGAGGGCCCTTTGGGAGAACAAGCATAATCCCTCCTGTCCTCTGAGACATTGCAGAGCAAATAGTCAGCTCAATAAAAGGCCATTATGTCATTTGAGCAAGCTGCCTCGGGCAAGCTGACAACACTTTGATGTTGCCACTAATGAAGGCTGCTGTAAGATCAAGTAAAATCAGCCTGAGAATTGTGTTCTTGTCTATCACTGAGATATTCTCAGTGATACATTTTCAGTTCCACACCTAAATCTCAACTCACACTGAGAGGAATCAAGGAAATACGTAGAATCCAAAGGGTATTGGAGAGAGGTCAGTAGTTGACAAGACTGGCATTCTTAGATTTTTTTCTTGAACTGGGCCTAACACTTGCATCCTTCAAGTACAGCTAACAATTTAGGCTCATGAAGGGATGCATTTATATGCCTCTTTGAAGTGGGTTTAGCATATCCAGTGGCTTCTAATGATCGGTGCGTAACATCTCAGCATTCTCAGCCAGGGCACCATGGAACCCTGGGTTGGCTTGAGATCCTTTCAAGGGTGCCATACAACATTAGAGTACTGTTAGGCATACAAACTAAGAGTTTTAATACTACTGCACAATAGAGTATTAGCACGTTTTTTCTCTGGCATGCTACTGTGCAGTTTTATTAGGCTACTGCACATTAAGCATCTCTGGGTGTGTCTATACATTCATTAATGCACTGTAATGATCTATAATACCTATAATGACAGGTACTAACTTAATGAGCTGTAATCAGTATGACTAAGCATTAGCGCAAACAAATGGTCTTTTTGTGATGTTAATGCACAGTAGCCCATCATGCTAATGCGCAGTAGAATTAGTCTGCTGCTCTCGAAGCGTCTCATGTACATGTGCCCAGTAGTTATGTAAAACAAATGTGATTTGCTCTGATTTGCTGTTAGGTTGAAACCAAAGTCAGTCCTGGAACAAGCACATGCAATTCCACTGAAGGTGATGGAAGTGGTATCTACCTATGCTAGTCATGAATGTTGATCTAGGAGGACTGGAGATCATGTTATAGTACCTGTAGAAAGTTGTTTCATTTGACACCTTCCTTTTCCTGCTCTGCTTGCAGTGTTCCCTGTCATTGTTTGGCCATGGTACATAGGGGATGGTTCCTGGCTGACAACACACACTAGCCATCAGGAGACTGGGACACATTTTAGTGGTTCAAGGCAGAGTTTGTGGCTCTACAAGGGGGTTTCAGAAAGTAACAGCAATTTCAAAATAAAACCACTTTGCAATGGTCATTTACTGGGCTACATCACTTCTCCACATAGTCATAAACAATTAGTGCATTTGACAATGCAGCTATCGGTGTTCCCACTGCTGTGTAGTTTCCCACTCGGTGCAGACAAAATGGTTGTATTTAAAAATTGCGCATACTATCTGAAACACCCTCATACAAATGTCTAGAGCTCTAGCAATGTGATGAATAAAA